GATCAAGCAGAGAAGAACAGACTTATTAACAACCGGCTAATCTCGTTAACAACGCAGATTACCAACACTAAGCACTCTCACCTAGAGAGATCTGATTACTTTAATTTTTGTATTGATTACTCCTTAATCAGGTACTAACTTGACCGTTGGAGGCGGAGCTCTCAGGAGTCTCCGTTATTTTGCAGGTACAGGCGTCCGGTTCCAGTCTCGGAATTGTAACTCTCCCGCAGGACATCAGAAAACCCCGAAACAGTATGCAATGCAACAAATTAAATCTTAGATTGTAATACCTGGTTAACAATTTCAGCGTTCCAATCCTTTATAGAATTGCATTTCCCTAGCTTCTGTCTTGGACCAGTATGCAAGTTACCTTTCCAAAAAGCATAGGGCTCCCTAGAAGTCCAGTTTTTCATCGCGTTACCTTCTTTGAAATCTTTCTCCAAAGGAATCCATGGCTTTATATTAATATCCGGCCTGAAACAATGCAAAATAAAGACATAATTTACATATATATGATCACACAATAAAAGAGCCGTCCATGATATATATTGCTAGACATATGTCATATGATTTTTTACATAATTGTTCTTATCATGCGCATGCCAATGTTGTTATAGCATGCAACGTGCAACATATGTAACATCTCTCGAAACTAAATATATTCAAAAAGATTATTGATGAACAATTACCATCCCCAAAAAGACCAATCGGGAAAGACCGATATCAAACGTGGAATCATCCCCACGATAATGAAATTGTGGAGGTGCAAAGGCGGCTTTTCTTCCTTTATATTTGTCTTTCTTGATGGATGCTTGATCATGGCATTGAAACACCAAATCTAGGTCAGGTAATCTACCAGGGTACAACTTAAGGAGTTGCAATATAGCCCAAAATGTATACGTATCCCTTGTTTGGAACGCCTTTGCATATCTCTTTACATAGGCTGTGCCATTCACAATAACAAGTCGAAAATGAGTATCTTTTAGACTCTCCACCATTTCTCTTGTAATCCCTTTCTTCTTCCATGTCTTTAAGTCTTCGTGTATCCATCGAAAGTACTCGGGGCATGTTTCGTTCGATGTAAAGGTGTGATTGAATGTAGGAGGGTAGTTTACCGGGCATGTTATAGTCATGTTGCTTGAGGTGCAGTTGAGAAGATACTCATCTCTCTTTGGGTACTCATGTTTGTTACGGTTTGAGAACATTGAGAAGGTGAATGACCCTGAGCTGCTTGCTAAAGTTGACTGAGAAAAATGCATCAAAAAAAATATGGCTTAGTATTCTTGGTTGATTAACATTATTACACAATAAAATAAAATAAAAAATTTTGTTTAGCGTTATGTGTAAGGTAAGTTATATTTGGAATATTAATTTAGAGACTTGTTATAAACACAATTCTTAAAAAACTGACAAGTATCCGTACATTGATTGATATTCTATCTACAATAGAAATGCATCGAGATTTTATATGACATATGACTACCATACATGTTTCATCATTCAAGTCTAGCTAGCAAATATAAAAATTTCATTATTAGACGTATAGAAATGATATTGAAGATTTCATAATCTATAATCCTAACGACTCCATAGTCTACCCCTATTTTCTATCCTAAGTCGTATGAACTTTTTTTTTTGGACACAAGGATTACGTAGAACTGGTTATTGTATAAGGTAACCTGATGGGGTAAAAAGGTTTTTATTAAAAATGGACAAATTCATTATTGGACAAGGTTAATACAATAAGCTAAGGCCAAAATGTTAGCTTAATTAGATACAAAAAAGAAAGTAGATTCAAGCACAAAAAAGTGACAAAATTTCCTGTTTATTGGCCTATCTGTTATTGACCCACTGGCCTCTATTTATTAACCTACGAGGCTACGATCCATATTTAACCCAATTAAAAGTGACCATATTTTGACATGACCCACACCCACAATTACCAAGCCTAGTCCTAAGGCAGGCAATCCACCACGTACTAGTAAGTTATAGGTTACTTTACAATATAATTTCAAAGGTTTTGATTGGAAATTTCCTTACAAATCAACCAATTGAATTCATCGAAGGAGTCACTTATATACGAGAAAATAATCAAAACCATTACTATCTGATTTGAAAGAGCTAATTTAAGAGTTTATATCAAACATTACTTGATCGATTTGTCTATTGCTCAAAAGTTGACTTGGTAGCACTTGCTATCCAATATCTATAATCGCATATTTTGATTATTAAGTAATATTCTCTTTACTTAATATTTATCGAACTTAAATCATTTAAATGTACTTAAATTATTTTTATTTTATAGTGATTAAAACTATTTTTATCAATTCTCTTTTATATTTGATCCTTAAAATTACAAATTTTACCAAAATATGGAACTTACATCACCACGCTATTAAAATATTTCTCTAAATTTGAATTCACTAAAACCAACTTTGCATATGAAATCATGAACACCGCAACATTTCAATATCACCGACTATGTTAGAGATTGCTAGTAATATGTCAAGGAAACTATGTATCTATGTCATTAATGGGTGACTATTGTCTCATTGTGAATTGTGGCGGGTGCCAAAAACTGACTCGACTGACTTGAGGAAAAAAAATCCAATCTAGATTTCTGACTTAGCTTGTATGGACCTTACGAATTAGTATGGTTAGACTTTGAAATAAATCGATTTAATCCGATCTTACCGAATTCGTCCCAATTACCCAAATTGACACCTTTATTAGCTTGTAACTCTTGTAAGTAACTTATTGTCCTGTTACAAATGCTCCGTGTCTAATTTAGTACAGAGTAAGTTACAGCCTTTACAAGACAATAAGAATTAGCCCATATGCTTTAACTTTTAAGAAAGCTCAAAAACTGCCTATTTGTCAATACCAATTAAACAAGTTAAACCTATATTATTACCCCCATTAAAGCCCACCGTACCACGAAAAACCAAATTTTCAAAAGTTGTCTACACCCCACCCAAAAAGGAGAGGAAAAAAAAAAAGAAAGCAAGTTATGTATCAAAGTACAAGAATCATGATCATATGAAATTACTCAAGAAAATAAAAAACATACAAGTTATAAACAAGGTAAGAATAATCACTAATACAACAATTATGAACATAATCAAGTCACACCATGCATAATATAATTCATGAATCATCATTTATCATGGTAATAACTTTTAAATTAAACATTAAATTCAATAATCATAAACATATAAACTACCAAAATTAAATGAATTGATTAAAAACTCAAAGGAAAAAAGAACAGAGGAAAGAAGAAAATGAGTAAAACAACATGGACTTACAATATCAGACCATCGAGTCAAAACAAGGGTACATATGAAAAGGAAGGAGAGAAGCAAAGAAGCTGTTGTTGCGGAAAATCTATTTGATTTCGACGACGACGATGAAGAAAAAGAACAAACTTGCAATTTGAATGAATCCCATAATTTTTTCATACTATTTGAGTTATTGTTTGAAGAGGAAGAAGTAGAATCTTCCATCTTCTCTATTTTTATTTTTTCTTTGTTTGAACAGTTGGTAATTCATGCACCAAGAAATGTGTAAACTTATATATATACACCATATTATACTATATGATGTAATATGGACTATATGGTTGATTAATGACATAGATAATTTGATAATAAAAACAATAATACTAATAATATTATTGTTAAATTAGTGAGGTTGAATTTTCTTGGGAGTGAAAGAAAAAAGAAAGGTTTAGTCGTCATAACTGATAAGGTACGGGGAATGGGGATACTACTAGTTAAAAGTTAGTCTTACGTTTGACATTAACGTGTGGAATATTCAAGATTTTTCTTATTTATTTATTTTATTCTTTGTTTTAATGGCAAGAAAAAGCTCCAATTTATTATCTTTATTAATATTACCTAATTATCATACTTTATCATATAATTATTCATGTTCATAAATGATTTTAATTTATTGGGTTGAATATGATATCACGTGTAGTTATTAATATTAATATTATTATTATTATTATTATTATTATTATTATTATATGTTACTCTAATTTATTTTGAATAATAACAAGATTACCTAACGTGTAGTATATTGAGCTTTTGGGTCTAGGGTCTTAAACTCTTGATAACCCAAGTGAATTTCAATGAGGTAAAAGCTTTTTAGAAGTGACTATTTCAAAATTTGTATTCTTGTATTAATGGAAATTAAACGACCAAGCAAAGCTCGAATTCACTAATATATTTCTTAATATGAATGGTTTTACGGTGTATTTAGAGGCAGAATATAATGAAAAGTAGGTTAAATTTAGTTTAAATCTTATATGTCATTTAAAGACTTTTATCAACTAATTAGCTAACATCTATATTAAATTTCTCTCTTAAAATGTAAAAGTTATACATTAGGACTTTCTCGTCACGTCTTAGGGAGTTGGGGGTAAACCTTTGCACCGAGACCTCCGAAAAGTAACGGCTTTATTACGTCTTGCTCCCTGACCTCAGACATTTGTTTTCTAGCACATACTCCGTATTATACACTGTGTAGACCAAACTAAATAAACTTTGGAGATCACATAAATTAAACTTTACAATGTACATTGATTTGGCTGAAGATACCCTTGAAAATATGGATCCTTAACCTTATAGTGTATCTTGTACTTTAAAAAGAAATTGTTTACATGTTTTAAAGCCAATCAATTATAAAGTACCCCAGATTTAGCCTCGAGCTAAATGATGTGATAAGCCAAAGATATGATTAATTAAGATTAGATTATTTTTAGAACATTAACAAGATTTGACTTGAACCAACTAAGGAATTTGGTCGTTTATGCATAAGCAGGTCATTAGGAGACTAAATAAAATTAATTAATTATTTATTATTAAGCAAACGAGCTGGTTGCTGATTTGCTTTTAGCTTAACTTCAATTCTTTTATTCTCTCAAGTCTGAATGTTGCACAAACAGACCAAACTAGTTCTATTTGGAATTTGGTAATTCCTTATTATTTAACGTGAAGATAAGATTAGTTAGGGATAAGCACTCCGCCCAATGATACATCCCACTGGAGCAAGAGAATATTGTATAGACTAACTTATAAGATTTTGATCTAGTGATTAAGACTGATGGTACCTGTACAATAAATCACGAGTTCAGATTAAATCTCCTACCATGATCAAACTATGTTATCTAATTTGCGTCGATTTCGACACCATGTTAACTAATAAGAAATGGACGAAATATTATGACACAAATATTCCAATCAAAACAACAAAAAGTAGTTTACATGGCTCAATAAGTCGCTCGATGGAATGCGAAGGGTAATGATGAACTAGTTTGTTTGAACTCGTTCCCCAAAGTATAACTACTTTGACGGATTTTGATTTGCAATTATAATTCCCGCTCTTCTTGTTTCAAAAAAAAAAAAAATACGAGACACAATCTATTTAAAAGTACACAAGGAGTACAAACAAGTTGTCACTAACAAAAAAAAAAAAACTGTTACTCCGTATATATTCATTGTCTGAAGATCTGAAGCTCTTTGATCCCCTTTCAATTGAAATGTAACCATATTCCATTTTTTCTTTCTTTCTTTTTTTTTTTTTTTTTTTCTTTTTCCATTTTATAACAACATTTTAAGCTTAATTAGGTTAATCTGCCATGCAAAGTTGGAGCCTGAATATGTCGTCAACTTAACAAATCCTTCTAGGAGGCGTACATGTACGTGTTTCCTTTTGTTGCTAGACTTTGGCCAAGGTTGTAACGTTTGTTGGTGCATATTAATTCCTACCACCACCACCTCCTCCTCCTCCTCCTCCTGCGCGTCCATTTTCTTAATATCTGTTTCGCCTTAACCTCATAAATCTTCGCTAGAACTCCCCTGTGCCACCCACCCATCCACGCGCCTTCTTACACTATCTTGTTTTTCTAAGAAAGCCTTAATAACTTGAGGTGCTTGAGGAGGTTCTAATATACATGGGTTTGTATTAGAAGGACCCTTAACCATATTGTCTAGTCTAAACTGCTTTTGTAGCCCTTCTTGAAGGCAAGCCATTTCCTCCGAGCACGTTTCATTAACTCCTGGTGGCACAGTTGGTTTATACCTTAAAAGTTTCGCGTACTCATTCAGCAAATGAAACATATAGTCGTAGACATTTTCCATGGTTAATTGTTCTTGAACGAATTTGCTGCCCGCTTTTCCAATCTTTTGTGCCTGTTGATTACATAAACAAAGACGAATACAGTGAATTATCGGTGTATGAACACAAGACCATGTTACTAAAATTTAGAAATCTGTAACATTTTACCTTTTCTTTATGCTTGTTACCCCAATCAACAGCAAACTTCAGGGACTTGCATAAGTTCTCAGGATTAGGATTAATAGGCCAAAAATGCTTCATGGGTATTAAGCTTCTTGTAAAAAATTCGTACCACTTAGGTGTTACAAGGAGTGCTAGAGAATTACATGCTAGAATATATTTCTCACTGACAGACCACGCGATTCCTTCAATATAGATCTTGTACCTTTTCAAGAAAAAATAAATTACAATAAGAACTTGCATAGTGCACAGTTCTGTTTAGGAGATTAACCAATCAGACTTTTACTCCGTATATAATCACTACAAGAAACAGAGAAAATCGCGGCCTAGTATGATTACCAACCTATGGACACATTGGTCAGCTAAATTTGATGACTTGAACCCAAGCTTAGTTTCTTGCTCCCAATCCTGCAAGTGCCAAATAATTAGTCCATATGATCACATAAACTTAAGTAAATTATTGTAAAAACGTCGTGTGTAGGCTATTAGGCTACGACGATTTACTTAGGATTGGTGTTACCTGAGTAGCAATCTGAGTTTTCCACTGGTCAGTAGAATTGCACTGAAGAAGCTTAATTCTGTCACCCATATCAGCATTCCCTTTCCAAAAGGCAAAAGGTAACCTATTCATCCATGGAACTCTATTGTTTCCTTCTGCTAAATCCTTCTTCAATCCTTCCCAACCCTTTATATTAATTTCTGGCCTGTTAAGGAACAAACATATGCGATTATATACTTCTTATGATAAGTCTAGCTTAGAGTAATCAAGTATGGCCTAGTCTGATTAGAGCAGCCTAACTGCGGCCTGGCTCATGATCAGCTCTAATATGCTTACGAAAATAGAACGTGTTTATATTTCTTAAAATAAGGTTCTTAGCTTCTTACCAGCCCCAAAAAGACCAGTCAGGAAACACTATATCAAGAGTATCATCATCTCCACAATAGTGAAACAAAGGAGGAGCATTTGATTCATGTCCGGTGTAGTTACTCTTGCGAACCACAGGAACATCCCCTGCCTCGAACATGATATCCAAGTCCGGTAGCTTCCCTGGATAAAGTCTTAGAAGCTGCAGTATTCCCCAAATGGTAAAAACATCCCTTGTTTGATAAGTATCTCTGTATTTTTCCCAATATACCTTACCATTAACCACAACTAGTCTAAAAAACGCGAATTCTTTAGCTGCTTCAACCATGTCCTTAGTGATGCCGGTGTCTCTCCAAGGCCGGAGGTCTTCGTGGATCCATTTGAAGTACTCGGGGCATGTTCGGGTTGATGGGTTAGTAGGGTTGAATGTGGTTGGGTAGTAATTGGAAGGGCATGTTTGGGTGGCATTGATCATTTCAGGGGTGCATTGTAAAGGGAATTCTGTTTTTTTTAAAGGGTGAGATTGTGTTACAGTTATTTGTTTGGAGCCTGGGAGTGCTTTTCTGATTAATCTTGTTGCTGAAATTGATGGCTGCGCAATTAGAAATGAAGAATTAGTTTCGTTTTAAAACAATCTTAGTATTGTTTCATAATTATAGCATAATCGAACACCCAATGTTCCTATAGTCCTTTTAGGACGGGAATCTCTTTAAAGGTATTGGGGTAATGTTAATGTTGAGATAGAAATGTGAGAATGTCAACAAATAAATAACAAGCACATACGTTTCCTTACACAATTACTCTCTAGAACAAAAGCCAAAAAGGGATTAACCATTTCATCACGATTACTTAATCACAAATTACAATCAAGCTATGAAGTTTCAAAGATTAATTCTAATTTCCTAAAATCAGTCATAAATTACATAATATGTCATGCTCTTGATGAAATTTCTTCAAAGTTGAAGAACACAACAATGAATATGATATCGAAAAATAGGGATCAAAGACTTACAACGGTCATGTACCGGGTTCCAACGAAGGCACCAACGAGGAGGATGGCATAAAACAGGATTACAGTTGAAGCCCTTCGCTTGAAAGGCCTTGTTATGGCTTCTAACAATTGAGAATGCATCTTGAGTTGTATACATTGACCATATTATTGGCAATGTATGGTGTGGAAATAGAAAAGACCAAAAGAAAAGAGAAAAAAACGTATTTTCTTGTTGGAAAAAGAAATGAAAATTGTAGAAAAGAAGCGCAATTTTCTCTGTCAAACCAGAAAATGCATCACACATATATTCCATAGCCTCATCCTTTGAAACTTGTCTTATGTACTATCTTTAGCTAGAAAATTTCTCATTTTAATTGCTATTTGGCATGTATTTTTTCTTTTAAAACCTTTGTTACGCGACAAGTTTAGGGTAAAGGTTTAATAGCATAAAATGGGAAACAATTTAATTATTTTTTTGTTGTTTAGAGAGCTATAAGGACGGGGTGGGAATCAATCTCAGGATCTCCCGAAAACGGGAGGGAAGCTCTAACCACTTGAGCTATCCCTCACTCTCAAACAATTTATGTTATCTCTGTCAAACGAGAATTAACATTATTACGAGCTGTTAGAAAATAAATTGGAAAAAAAAAAACTTTGTATAAGAGAGCAAGTAAGTAACAAGCCACTTATGCATTTTTTCATACATAGTTACAAAACTGATCCGTAACCAATAATTTACCCCCAAAAAAAGGTGCTTATTTACAAAATTGGACAATACTCCGTATATAGTACTTGATCTAAACAAAAAAATTAGCTATCACCCTACTCTACTCAAACCCTCAACATCCCTCAAAATCTCCTCTTTAGTTTTAAGAAATGTTTGAAGATGATGAGGATCATAAGCAGGAGGAATTGAACAAGGGCTTGTTTGGGAAGGAGCTTTTACTAGGGAATTTAATTTCCACTCTTTATCTTTGAGAGAAGTTTTGCAAGCCATTGTTTCTGTACAAACTTCTACTGCATTAGGAGGAATAGTTGGCTTGTATTTCATGAGTTTTCCATATTCATTTAACAAATGAAACATGTAATCATAAATGTATTTCATGTTTAGCTCCTCTGTTATGAACTTGCTTCCACCCTTTGCTATCTCTTGTGCCTGCATTTTGTTAAGAATTCAAGATCATGATTCAAGGATTCGTGGTTTTATTATTTTAGATGTTCAAAGGTGGAGAAAAATAATCCGAACTATTAACTTTCCTTATTTATTTATTACGTAATTAAAGATATTTATGGTCAAGCATGTCTTTAAAAACAAAACTGTACAAGCTAAGTAATTCTAGATCAAGAGAAAAGAGGAAAGTGTACCTTGTTTGGATGTTTATTTCCCCAAACAACAGCAAATTTGATGGATTCACATAATTTGGAGGGATTAATAGGCCAATATTGTTTTAATGGTAGCAAACTTCTTGTATAAAACTCGTAGTATTGCGGTTGTACCAGCAGTAACATAGAATCACAAGCTTGAATGTATTTCCCACTTGTCGACCATGCTTTTCCTTCCATGTATATTTTGTACCTTCATTAACGATCAAAATATGCAATGCGATTAATTATGGTAGAAAACTCAGTACTTCACCATGCGTCCATGCCAATGTGCATTTAAAAGTTCAAGTTCAAATTCAAATTCTAACTTACTAAACTTAGAAAGTGACTTATTTATATTGGAGCGGACTAAAACTGAATTGTGGCATATGTTTGTAGACTCGCTATCATTTGTACACATATGACCCTGTACTTGTTAATGTAAATGAAGAAAATAAACTTACCGGTGGGTGCATTGAGCTGCCATATTTGATTGTTTAAAGCCATGATTAACTTCCTCTGGCGAACTCTGAGAAACAAAAAGAAAGTAACAAATAACTTCAAATTTGGTTAGGGTCATTTTTTTTTTTTTTTTTTATCATACTCAAAACGTGTGAAAAGTTATGTAAGACATGGAATAATAATAACAAGATACTTATATGGATCATATTTATGTTGGTAAGTTCATGTCAAGTCGGGTTTAAGTTGTTCTCAGTAATTTCAGGTCGTGTTAGAGATTACTGGGTAGAGGAAAAGAAGATTTGTTACCTGATCATAAATCTGAGCTTTCGAAGCTCGAGTTGAATTGCATCTAAGAAGGTCTCTTCTGTTTCCTGTTAAAGAATTACCTTTCCAATAGGCATAGGGCACTCTGTTTACCCATTTCACTTTTTGGTTGCCTTCAATTATGTCATTTAATTGCGTCCCCCATGGCTTTATGTTTTTCTCCTGCCTGCAGCACCATAGTAAGATTTAGTACACTCTAATTAATGGGAATTACAACTACGATTAACATAACTTTAACGATAGCAACTTGAGTTGTGTCTTTTGTTTCCTTCGTCCCACTACAATTGTCCCATTTGACCCTATAAACTTTCATAATATTATAAAAATACGAGTACAATTTGTAGAAGAGTACAGTACTTCAGTTGCTCATACCATCATACGTATATTTTAATAGACCCCACCTCTTCTGTTTTTAACGGTACCACCACACATTACATTATGATATAATTAGGCCCCACACATTATTATAAATCAACCATGGCGTAAAAAAATTAATTAATCATTAACATTGAGCCCAAAACATCAATTATCAATACATGTCTTGCCTCTGTACTTAGCTAGATTTGGACTATCTTATTAACAAAAATAAACAGTGGAGAATTGGAGATATTTTAGAATGTTTAGATTCACATTTTCCAAAATTATAATGGTATATAATTGATTTTTCTAATACTTCTTACCTCACCATTACAAGTAAATTATTATATACGAGAATTGACAAAACGATTATAAAGATTTATATCCTCTATGTAAAATCACGTCAAGACATCAGATTAGTAAAAGTCGTGAATTTATAACAATTATTTACGGACAGAAAGAGTGTTAAGAGTAAATTAATGACGGGCATTAATTAAAAAATATATAAATATATAATTTTTTTTTTTTAAAAAAAAAAAGAGGAAAAGGAGAAACATTACCAACCCCAAAAAGACCAATCTGGGAAAGGAATATCAAAATGTTGATCATCTCCAAAATAATGAAACATAGGAGGAACAGGTGAAGTGTAATTAGCAGCAGCTTCATGATAATCACTCTTCTTAATGACTGGTTTATCACCACTCTCAAACATTAAATCCAAATCAGGCAATTTTCCAGGGTACAGTCTTAGTAGTTGCAAAATCCCCCAAATTGTAAACATATCTCTTGTTTCATATATTCTTTTATACCTTTGAAGAAATACTCTTCCTTCCAATATTATTAGCCGGAAAGACGCGACGTTCTTTCCGGCTTCTAATGATTCCTTTGTGATCCCTTTTGATACCCAAGGTCGCAAATCTTCATGGATCCACCGAAAGTAATTCGGGCACGAGTCGATTGAAGATGATATGATATTTGCCTCATTGACTTCTATTGTGGTTGGATAGTTGGTTTTAAGGCATGTTTGGTTTGTGCTTGTTGTGGGACAAATGATGGGGTATTCTGTTGTTGCTTTTGATGAATGTATTGCATTTTTTGGTGTGTTTCCAACTGAGGTTGGGATGTTTTTGTTGCTTGAATCTGGTGATTTACTGTAATTTGTGATCTTAATTGAAGGCTGAGAAACAAAATCAATGGAATCAATAAACAAGAAACTATAATCAATATATTATAATTTAACTATTTCTAGTTCCGATGGGGTTCAGTGCATTAAAATGTCGGTAATGACCAAATTCTACAATTTATTTTCAAATAGTCAATAACAAAGATAGCAAGAAAGAAGGATTCTTCAAAGAGTAAGCGAGGATTCTCTCTTATTACTCGACCATCAAGTTACGAGTTAAAATGTGAGATCTCTAAATCTAACTCGAGTAATTAGACCGTCTAGTAACTGAATCGTAAAACAATATGATCAAATTAAAGGACTTACCACAGTGTGATCGAAACGTCGAACTAGAAGGATGCAACCAAGGAATAGAAAGATGTAAAAATAGAAGAGAATTTTCTTTTTATTGACTGTAAACCAAGCCATATCAATCTTCCCCACCGCCATTAGATTTTTTGTGGTGGGCTCATCAACTATTTAGCAACCAAGTTCTAATTCTCAATATTTAGCACCCCAGAAAAAGAATAATTTAATCAACTACTGATTAAAGACAAAATGGTATAGATATATAATTAATTGAAGCATTATTGTAATATACTATTACAAAAAGGAAAAAAAATATAAAAAAAAAAAGTGTTGTTGATTTGTTGGCATGTGTTTTTGGTAGTCTTCTGAAGCTTTAGTTTGACTTGTAAACAATTTTATTTGTTTTAAATTTTTATTTTTGGGTGGTTGGGAAATGGGGAGTGAGAGACATGACTAGCCCATTAGCTTGGTTAATTATACTTTAATATGTTTTAATACACGTAGTATACTTGGTACGAAGTACGAGTATAATTTTATTGGATACATTATTGAGATTCCATTATAAGGTTTTACACACATATCAGATTCTTACATCTGACAACGTTTGGTGAATGTTGATGATGCACTTGGTCTTTTGTAAGCCATCGGTGGCCGGTAAGATTTTGAAATTTGTAATATATGACTACTACTGTAATGTCTTGTATAGATTAAAATTTATATTCATCATTAATTTGTTTGTGAATGTCAACCAGTTTATTTGGTTAAAATTTTAAAGGTAATACTCAAATTTTAGTATCGAATCTCATTTAATTCGTTGTCTTTGAGGCTTTCTTAGTTTACTCCCAAAAAAATTATTGTTCCATGAGTTCTATTGTTCTAATATTAAAGTCATGTAACTTCATCTTGGATGTGTTCTTTTCACCTGAACTTATTTAAGCTTGTTTGATTAAACATTAATTTAGACCTGATGATTAGATTAAACCTAATCACCCTTATTATTAATTGATTAGCTCTGAATTATTTTAAAAATTCTTTTAAATTGAGACCTTTTAACAAAGCAGTAAAAAAAATACTCCATAGAGAGAAATTAAATATTTCGTACTTTATTAAGAAAGTTACATAATATATACAAGTTTACATGTTAGTTATAATTATATATATAGCCAATTTGAAAATGGTGCAATTGCTTTTGAGAAGTAGTATTATTTTGGAATCAACTTCTCCATGGCTTTTCCATGTTACATGCCATGGCTTTTCCTACCTTCACATGTTATTATACATATAACATATTGGCCTATTAGAAAGAGACCAATTAGGCCAAGTTCAAATACTCATACTACTTGTTTAGTGCAAACTGCAAAGAGTACGGTCAGCTAGCAATTTTGTAGCAAACACAAACCAATAGAAACCTTGCACATTTTAATGATTTTAAATCTTGGTTGTTGAGTAGACTAAATCTTTTGAGTATTTATTTCTCGAATTTTAGGCGTATAGTTTTCGCCAGTTTTTAGGAAAAAAAAAAGTCATGACATTTGTTTATGAGAGCGAAATTTCAAGTAAATGATCAAACATTATCAATTTATATAATGATGTGATAGAGTTAACATTGGTTATTATGGAAATAGATCGAATTGTTTAGTTTGCTTTCGTTTGAAAGATTCATACCACACTATTCATTATCAATCTTGGGATAGGTAATTACATACCATCCAATAGATAGAGCAAAAGTTAAGCACAACATATTGTTATTACTTCATGACAACGTTTACAATGCACAAGAATACGAAAGATGTAATTCAATCAAGGTTTCCTTTTAGGGTTCAAATTTTCCCAATACTCATCTTCCCAAATCTCTACTTGCCTTGTCAAATTAGCTTTCTTCTCTAGAAAACCTCTAAAAGCTAAGGGATCATAAGGAGGTGGCATAGAACAAGGAATTCCATTACTAGGAGATTTTTCCAAGGATTCCTCCATGAACTTCCTCCAGTTACCTTTAGCTCCACACGCCATTGCCTCGGAGCAAAGCTCAATCGCTTTGGGAGGTATCGAGGGTTTAAACCTTAATAGCTTTGCATACTCATTCAACAAATGGAACATATAATCATAAACATAGTCCATCTTCATATCTTCATGGATGTACCTACTTGCGGCCTGCCCTATCGCATGAGCCTATTCAATCATATAGATTAATTACGAGATTAATAATAACAAATTTAAGTCACACTATACAAATAATGTGACGTTTAATTACCTTATCAACGTGACTATTTCCCCATTCAACAGCAAACTTGAGAGATTTGCATTTATCGTTGTTCTTAATGGGCCAATAGTGGACCAAGGGCAACATCCCTCTATTGAAAAAGTCATGATATGTGGGCTTTACTACCAATGTCATAGAACCACATCCTAGAATGTATTTCTCACTAACTGACCAAGCCCATCCTTCAATATAGATCTTGTACCTTTATGATATGAAACAAATATTAGAATAGATTAATAGTATAAAATTATTGTAAAAAATAAATTAATAAGTTTAATATAATACCTATGGGTGCACTGATCTTTAAGGTTGGATTCTTTAAACCCTACTTTAGCTTGTTTTTCCCAGTTCTGCAATCAAATGTAAATGTTTTGAGTTCAAACTTTACTACCCTCCGTTAGGGCAAAGTGGTTTTGAAAACGACGCAATTCGATAATGAAATGTATAATGCTCCTTTCTCAAATGATATTAATGTTTTCGGTTATTGTCTTGATCATGTTAAGTTTTCAAGACGTCGATTAATCATATGTGATGGTATTGAACTACCTAATGGAAATGTTCAGGTCAATTGATGAAAAGAGACCTGAGAATAGATGCGAACGCTCCAATCAGTAGTGTTAGTGGCATTGCACTTGAGCAAATCTGCCCTCCATGGTGCAACTTTAGGGTTGCCTCTCCAATAAGCTAAGGGTATCCTGTCCTTCCATTTCATCATCTTGCTCCCTTCTTGTATTTCAATAGATGTGTTTCTCCATGGTTTTATGTTACACTCCGCCCTACTCAATTATACACAGTGTTATAATCAAATCTATAATCCATTTTCTCTCTCTAGTGTCGAGAGCAACAGGGAAACAATGTAGATGAGATTTGATCTCGGGTTGAAATCAAGAAATTTAAAACTTACCAACCCCAAAAGGACCAATCAGGAAAAACAATGTCCAAACTCCATGGATCAGAGCAATACTTAAACAAGGGTGGTGGCCCAGAATAAGGCTTCTTAAAATTGTTTGCTGGAATTACAGGCCTATCACCACAATCAAACATTAGCTCCAAATCAGGCAATCTCCCAGGATACCGCCTTAGTAGTTGTAGGATTCCCCACAAAGTGAACTCATCTCTAGTTTGAATTGAATCCCTGTACTTCTCTACATACACCCTTCCTTCTAGGATCACTAGCTTAAAGTTGGCTGTCTTTCGACCCGCTTCAACCATTTGTTTCGTGACACCCGTCTCCTTCCATGGCCGTAGATCTTCATGGATCCAACGGAAGTAGTCTGGGCACGTTGCTGGATGACCAAGATTCGTAGAGGCATAGTTTGTAGGGTAGTTGTGAGGACATGATTGGGCGGTACTATTGATCACACATTGTAGTGGATATTGCTGGGATGGCGGCGGTGGTGGTGATGCCAAAGATTTAGAAGTCGAAGTACATAGTTTTTGGATTGATGATCTCATTTGCTGTAATTAGGAGAATAAAATTATCAACGATATTAACAACTAGGCAAGTTTAAAATAAATGCTAAAACATGTATAATATATATATGAAGTAGATAGGAATCAAATCTTAACCTTCTTTCAAAAAAAAAAAAAATCTTAACCTAACATGCATGGAAATATGCAATTAGAGGAAGGGGGGGGGGGATTTTATGAAATTTGATCCAATATCTAATCTAAATTTTCTTTCCTAATTTCATTTTTGATATCTAATTGATCTATTGTTAAACGTTAAAGTAGGCTTGTACAAAACTATCCGAGAATCCGAAATCCGATAATCCGACCCGCAACCGATCCGAATTTTTGGATATCCAATCCGAGTTTTTATTTCGGATCGGATATCCGATTCGAAAAAGCTGATATCGGATGCAGAATTGGATATTGATTTTCAAAATTTCGAATATCCGAAATATAAAGGCGGAAATAGTGAAATATATATATCAATATTTAAATTATTCATATAAAACTGACCCTGTATTATTAACTTGTTATAATATTCTGAATATATTTGATGATAATTTTTATTGCAAAAGACTACTATTTTGTTAAAATATGTTGAACAACTTAGCAATTAAAAAGCAGTAAAATTAGTGAAATTTATAAAGTAATCATAATCATTACTTAATATTGGATAATGGATATCCGAAGCATCTGATCCGAAAATTTCGGATATCCGAAATTTTCGAATCGGATTTGGATTTCAGTTTCTGATATTCGAGTATTCAGATATCCGATCCGACATGTGATTTCGGATCGGATATCCGATCCGTGAACAGGCCTACATTAAAGAGTAATAGCAACAAAAAATTCGCTATTTAAAAACAAAGTTTAAAATTTGACTTACAGAATTACTCCAACCAACAAAAAGTTCATAGCAAAATAAGAGGGTAAAGAAGAAAAATAGACAGAATAAGACATTGACAGCAACAGCCCGTTTCTTCGACTCTTGACATCGTGGTCCTGTGACTATGTTTAGCCAATCGAGTGCATGATAACTTCCATAACCCAAAGTTTTCCGACCAAAGAACTTAAACTCGTTTTTCATGGCAGTGAGGGTCTGTGATGCCTATGCCTAAAAGTGTATCATATACACTGTAGATATTAATAAATCTAGCTACAATGGAAATTAGGAAGCAAAACAATGGTATTAAAGACATTGATTTCGTGACTAAGTGGGGCCACAAGTCACCTTTTTCTTGTATGTTAGGCCAACGTATTGCATGTTCCAAAGATGATCCTTCTTGTGTATATGATGTTGAAACGTATTAAGGTCACATTGTTTACACCTTTGAATGCTCGAGAGATGCTACATGTTGCTCCAAGTATTTTCTTGAGCTTCACGTTATCTCCCCGGCTGCAAAACAGTAACAAAGGCAGAATCTTGTAACCTGTACTGTCATGCAATTCATGCCAATTACATTCTGTTGCAATAAATTCAACCTTAATTCGGTTTGATCTAGGCTAAACCCTTATCATGCTACATTGCTACGCACAAGGATAAAGACGTGAGCAAGAGGTTTCGTAAGGGTACCAACATATTGCTCAATTGATAATGCTCTCTAACAAAGTGAATATCAAGTGCACTATATCCATGTGTGAATGAAAAAAGTGGGTCTGCACTAAAAGTAGTAGCAACCAAGTTGTCACAGTAAATGTGGGTGTTTGAGAAAGAAATCGCATACACATAACCTATGTGGTTGAGGCTCCTACATTTTAGTGTTCCGTAGATTGTTTTATTTATTTTTTGGTATAAACAACATCCTTATCTTACAGCTCAATTTCGCCTCAAGTAACATGTCAATGTATTGAAAATTTTGAAGTTTTTCATCAAACAGAAGGTATGCCCTTCAAAAACGGGATATAAGAAAAAACAAAAAAAACAAAAAAGAAAAAAAAAATTGGGATAAATCTCAACAGCTTCTGTGGCTTTAAAATTCTGTGGCTAGCTCATGAGCTCCCAAAACATCAAAATTACATTATTAGGATGTTTCTGCCTTTCTGGTCAAGATTCTTCAGACTTCACTCTAAATCTAGCATTATTTCACAAAAATATTGGATCTAATTTTCAATTTAACTGGAATCTACTGTATGTAATCCTGAATATACATGATTTTTCCATAATTAAACTTATTTATTCAATGGTTGACTGCAGAAAATATAAGCTTTCAAGTCATTCAGAATGCTCAATGAATGTGCCACGTTCAAATCGATGAATCAATTTCCATGAAAAGCCAATGCATACACATTGAAAGACAGACATTCAATTAGTTCAATCAACAGTTAGCATTTCTGCAAGTACTTTACTTTCCCATTAAATAAATTTATATAAGAAAATAAATAAATAAAAAAGGATCAATTTTAAGTTGAGCTTGAAGAGTGTCATTTACCTCTTTACAGGCTAATAGAGAACATATCAGAATCAACAGGTTTCAAGAGCCAATTGCAGAAAGTTGAGCTCCCCTTCAATATCTTAGACATTTGGTTGTACTCATGAGCATTTTCCTACAAAAGATATCAAAATGAATTAAGAACTTTAGAAGAGCAGGAATATATTCTGGCAATAAGAAGGGATTATATATTTATGAAAGAACCGGAAAGTGAAACAGATTGAAGGCAGGGGTGGAATGATGATTGGCTGTTATTCTTCAACTAGTGACATAAATTTCTTTTTTTCAAACATTATCAAATTGTGCATATAGGCTATAGCTAGAGGACATAAGGGAGGCTTTTAGCCTTCAAATTTCACTTCAATTGGCCAGCAGCTCATTGAAATTAGATTGTTCTGTTTCACACGGGAGTCGGGAGACCTTTTACCAAGGACAAGTTAAGCAGACATTACGAATTTTTAAAGATATTAATTACACTCTGGTTGTAACTGTCAGCAACATACGGAGTACTATACAATATCAATTCAGGATCTCACTTACTGTATCACAAATTCGCCACCACGATTAGAGTTTAACCACCCAATTCGGAATAAATTCGTGTGGTTCCTCAACAACTAGGGCACCAAAATATTAAACCACGACAAGGGAGCAAGTCAAAATAGAAAAACTCACATTAAATTTAGACAGAATTGGGCTCATGAACAAATGAGTTCTACCATGTCAAAGTGAAATTCTTCCGCCAAATTATATTCCTTCCCTGTCCCTACCAAGATATAGAACTGACTAATCCTAAGGCAGGGTCGAGAAACTCACTGCCATGACAATTAAGCATTCCATGACATCTTAGGGTCTCATATAGTCATTCAAAATCCTGGCCCATAATTGGACCTCTTATTAAGGTTGGCTCAGGTTGTTGTATAAGAAGCCCCTGTCGCCTAGAGCTAATTCACCTGTATATGCAAGGATGATATACTTCCTAGGGGCTTGGGCACTTCCAAAAAATCACTTCAGTCAAGGGGATCAAAGCCAATGTCATGTTACCTTAAGTTCTCTATATGACATCGTTTTGTTTTTCCAATCACCTGAAGGATTGCACCTAAAGGACAAAAAACATTCCAACAATCTCCTCCTGCAATATGCACAGTAATTGATATAAGACACAAGATAGACAGTGACACCTGACACCATTTACAACTATACACACACAAATATTATCAACACTACCACCATAAACTAACAAAGTTCAAGCCTCTAAGGATGTCAAGTTGTCCAGATGTAAGTAAGTCACCTTAAAACATTTTTAGTACATGACTTATCAGAATTTAATAATATTAAAAAATAACTAAAAAATTCAGCCAAGTGATAATAATCCTTAAGAAACATTACCACGAAGAAAAAAATTAAGCAAACAAATATATTAATTAAAAGTTACTTGCACAAGGATGACTCCGTGGATGGAAATAATGCTCCCTTTGAAGAGGTTCCTTGCTTTCTTCCAGTTGTCCCAAGGATAACCTCATGTAATTCATGCTTATTCCAGCATATGGAGTACCTGCACATCACCGCAGCTTAAATTTTGCAACTCAAAGTCACATATCCACCACCAGGAAATGAACAACCAAATGAAGACTCACCCACATGTTAAAGTCGCCTGAGCAGAACCAAGATGCTGAAATTCCTTAGGTGGGACAGGAGCTTCAAAAAATAAAGGCTGCAAAATCAAGAGGCCACTTTTATGATGAGCCAAAGTGCATACTGCATTGACATTTAACACACTATACATACCTCATTAATTAGAAAAGGATCAACTAACATATTAGACAAAGGTGTTAGCCTATCATACAACGCCCTCCTCAAGCTTTCCTTCAGGGAAAGGGTTTGAGAACTACTGCATGATTGCCCAATGGTGACTGAAGAGATATAAACAGGTTGGAGCAGGTAGGAAAGCATTGCACCTGATACGAAAGTAAAGTACAAAACTCGTTATCAAAGACATACCATAGATCTATGTGTAACAACTAAATAAATGATGTTTCTATTCGTAAACAGACTTGTAATTTATTTTCCTCATATTCAGAATACCAATGTAGTGTTTCTGATTGCCTTGTAGCTTTTTACATTCATTGTTCTTTATCCCAACAAATCATGACCGAAACAGTACTCCTTAACTCCAATCTTGACTAATCTTTGCTGCTTTTCGTTTCTTCTATGCATTCTATAGCTCCCTTTTTTTATGTGTGGAGTTTCTAGCATTATGTCAAGCTTCCATGGATAGGATGAATAAATTTAAAAGATCTAAACCCATTTTTTTCAGTTTCTCATTGACAATTGAACGATCAAATTACCAAACTTATTCACAAACAGAACTCACACACAAGAAATTATATCAAAATTGAGGTCTGGTTGCTCATGGCTTTATTTTAATAGATCATAATTCTTAACACACATGGAACCCTCCAGTGACTGAGAAACTGACTGACCTTGTATTCCAACAACATTCCAGCGTGCTATTTTGTCAGAACAGCTAACAGACGAAGTTGTGACACCACGGCCAGGCTTTCTTTGAACTAAGCCAGTTATTGTTGGACAGTCACCTGCAAAAAAAAGTCACCAAGAACAATTTTCAATATTTAGAGACTAACACATAATGAAAATCCATAGACAAGGGCTACGCATTACATTTTTCTAACACGATCTGAAAAATATGTAATGCACCATAAATTTTAACTAATGATGATTATTTTGTAATCTTTAATTTTAACATGAGGATCTAGCAATGCCTTCCCCCATTTATAAGGTTTCAGGCATTATCTCATAAAGGCCATACAATGAATCTACAAAATTTCTTCTACTCAATACACTTCTACTGATTTCACGTTCAATCAAAAGCACAATAAGCTGTATGCAACTAGAGCTGCTTACTGTAGAAGCCGCTGCAGACAAGATGCATCTAGTAAAATACTAAAATGTATCACGATATAATGTAACCAAGTCATATAACTGCAGAGGTAGACAAGAAGAAAGAATACATTCAACCATTCTTCTTCAATAAAGCTTCGGAAGTTATTTCTCCGGGAGGATGAAACACATTTGTTGATGATGCTGGGAACTCTTCTCCAAAGGAAATAGTTCTCAACGATTGTGGCAAACTAAGTGAAGCATCCCCACCTATAAAAATATAACAGAAATCCCCAAAAAGAGAATAAAAATTGATCATAAGATAATTTTGGACACATCACTATCCCGCAAGAGATGAAAGAAATAAGATATAGTTAGACTCACATGGAAGCTGTGAAATATACATATGTAAATTCCAACCCTCTTTGATTTTGTATCGCCCTTGACCAGACCCATCAATCTCCAAATAAAGAGGCAACTTTCTGCCATCGACACCTTGTGGTCGCTCACTTAAATCGCAATAAGAATGAATCTGTGAATAGAAGAACCTGATATTTTGCAAAGAGAAAACAAAAATCTTGAAGTTGTCACAATATTAATCAGGTAACTCCAACTATTTGCCTTAAGAATGATATTCTGCTTGAGACATACTTTAAGTCTTTAACAAATAACAACAACCACAAAGTGGTCGCTGAACAACTAAGATATGATGTTAGCTCAAATGAGACTTAGATAAGTGCCAAACAAAATTGCATAACATATAAAGGTATATGCCAGATAAGCTGGTTTATGAATTCATGATCAAATGGCACAAATGCCAAAGATATAATTGATTACAATTCCTATCGATTACAGCCACTGTAAATCACACAGAATACATATCTAAGCAGCTTCAAAACATCACATCACGTGATCTAGCACAAAGTCATCCATATATTCAACCTCAACAACAGGGATGTTTCAGTGAGCCCTTTGCAAACTACGCGTCTAACGAACCACCTAAATCAAATGCCGTAGTAAAGGCTAAGAATAGGCCAAACTAACATCCCATTATCTCTGATTTTCCTAAGACTCACTAAGGCAACTACAGCAAGCTACCAAATAATCAAGAACGTGTTAATTCCGAGAAATAAACCTGCATCAACCAATTAAAACTAACAATTGTACATTTATTCAATATTACTTAACATCTCCTTATCACCATTAAATGTTCAATCACGTTATCACTAATACAACACTACAACCATCAACAACAACGACAAAGCCCTCGGCTAACTTAAATCGTTATAAGACCCATAACCATGAAACACACAAAATAATCACTACCTTAACAAAGCTCTTCTGGCAATAATCTCAGCATGAGAATCATTCACAACATCCCCATTTGAACTACGACTTGATCTGGGCAAACATTTAGTCCCAGTACCCAAAGCAACCACCTCCAAATCTGCAACCCCAGAAGTTTTCATCATTCTTTCAGCAATGAATTCTCAAATTCAACCCATAAAATCAAAAGGGTAAGTCTAAAACAAGTCGATAAATTGAAGGGAATACTAGTTAGTAAGAATTGACCCAATTGAGAAGAGAGAAAGATGGAGAGAAATGGGGTTACCTTGCGAAGGAGACGATAGAAGAAAAGCAGCCAAAACAGTGACTTCACGGCCTTGAGGTTTGCCCTTTTTAGGAAGAGAATTGAAGAGAGAGAAAACTTTGTCAGAAATAATATTTCCCCATGAATTTCCTCCTCCCAACGATTGAATTTCTTCCATTACCACCAAATCACCGATAGCTCCGGTAAGTGTTTTGTGTTTATGTTCGTGTCTTCCGAAGGGTGGTTCGGTTTTTCTACTTTAGTTTTCTAGAAAGATTGTTGGGTTTTCCGATCCAATATCCTTGGTTTTGTTAGCGTTTAGAGAGTCACAAGGATGATATATAATAATCAATCTAAGATCTCCTGAAATTGGAAGATAAGCTTTATTCATTTGATGTAATCCCTCGCCAACTGATTTAGTTAATATGGAGTAGAATTGTCAAATATGTCAATTTAGTTAAGTATAATTTGGCCAGTATAATAACATAAACTCGTGAAGTCATGATAGTATGTATAGAGTAATCTCGTGACTTGGAATTAATACTATTTACATGGTTACCCTTGCGACTCTTTTCATTGAAAAAAAAAATTAAAAAATAATAAAATAAAAAATATTGTATTCAAGTTTATGCGTTTTTTGTTTTCTTTTTTTCACAAAATGTTCATTGTGTTCATTATCATTCAATATCACACCATATTGAGTGTTTGTGAGATGAAAATTGGAAATGATTTCCCAACTTGTATAAGATAGTGTACTATTGGTACTAAATTAGTGCTTGATTTAGTACCTAGGGACAAATATGTTTATCACTATTGGCGGAGTAGCTAGGTATAGGGTGGATAGTCTAACTTACAATCCACACCAACGATAAACACGTTTATAATTCTTAACCTCGTCTCATTACCTCTTTAAGTAATCTGTAACATTTACCAGCTGTAACTCCACCAATCATATTCCGATCTCTTATTGATATTCGTAGTGTTATGTACATTACAATATTGTTTACCAACTTGGTACAATTTAAAGATAAAGGTGCGATGAACGTAAAAGTATGAAAGAGCCAATTTGAAAAACGTGATTATCTCATAATACATAAATATATTAACTATTACTAAAATGAAATATTTATGGTGTCACCATTGTCCACGTGTTTCTTTCACATAAAAAAAAATTCTGTCTAAAATTTCTCTTTTTTTTTTAGGCAATTTCTCTTTTTCTTAATTATTCACAATCCCATCTATCTATTAACCTATACTAAAAGCGAATAACCAATGACACTTGTCATTACCTTGTGAATAATTTTCCCGCCTTTTTCGTTTTCTTTTTTTCTTTTCCTTTTTTCTTTTTTTTTTTTTTTTGCAAAATCTTTAAATAAACTATTTATACCTTATGATTTTTTTTTTCAGTTTGACAATCATATTCCATATATACCCAAATGAAATATTTCTGTATATCTTTTATATACTTTATATTTTGTAATATTATTGTCAAAAATATTTAACAACTGTGCATTGCACGGGATTTTAACCTAGTAAATAATAAACTTGCTTGTTTATTTTGATAAAGAAATGTGATAGGCGTGTCGCGTACCTAACAAAAAATAACCTAGCAAGACCACTACTGTGTAAATAGGCAAGTAAGGATCGAATCCCAAGAGATTATGGTTTAATTAATTAAATAGACTCAAATTATCACTAAGCAAGTAACCAAAACAACGGTGAGAATTAATAACTAAAGGACTAATTAAAGCGATTAAATCTAAATAATATAATAAATCGAAGTCTAAAAACATCCAAGATCAAGCATTACCACGAATACAATTAACGCAATAGTCGTTCTACCCCTACCATATAATTCAATTGATTAACGAGGAAAAGTAATCCCTAAACAATACCAATGGTCTCTGATAACGGCTTCTTTAATCACAATCAAGCCTACTACCGTGAAAAAATGTAAATTAAAGACTTTGAGCACATTACTCTAACTTCCTAATCATCCATTCAACTACTCCCGCTATGAACTTCAAACTCTTAATTGATTTATTCAAACCCGTCAAAACCCAACTCCCATTGCGATTAAAACAATGGATTAATTACAATACTAATTATCCCTAATCTAGTATTGGCATGAGCACAATCAATTAAGCATTTCAATTGCAATTATTATTAGAGAATTTAATTTAAAGAATTAAACATGCATTAATCATATTCGGGTTCCGCTAGATCTTGGATTAAGGGAACTACTCACACATAGTAATGAAAACAATAACAAGAATTAAGAAAAACATAATTAACAATCAAAGGAATTAAAGAGAATAGGAAAATACCGAATCTTGAATTACGAGAGATAAATGAAGAATCTTGAGTGCATAATCTTGAATTACAATGAAAATAAAGTCTAGAGAGAAAACTAGGGCTCTAAGATGATAGATAATGAAATTATAATGCTAAAGTGTATTTATAATAAGGCTAAAAGATAGGATAAAATAAGGAAAGAAATCGGATGAAAATCGATCAAATCCGTCCAGGCATGGGCGTGTCACACAGGACATGCCCCTGCCTAAAGTTAGAAACAATTTTTCTTCAACTTCCAGCGAGACATGGACGTGTCAAATTCTGACATGGGCGTGTCTCGTTGGAATGGCACCCACAACAGCTATGTCACTCGTAAAGACATGAGCGTGTCTCATCTTGGCATGGGCGTGCCTCGCTGGGCCAACTCCACTCGACGAGGCATGGGCATGCCCACATTCAACATGGCCATGCTTCCCTTAGCACGTAGCTTCTAGCTCGAAGCACTCGACTCGACATGGGCGTGCCTCAAATAGACATGGGCATTTCTCAAATAAAACTTCAAATTCAACTTTCTTCCTCTTCAAAACACAATGACACGCCCATGTCTCTGAGTGACATGGGCATGTCTGGCTGGAGATTAGCTTTAAATGACTTCAACATTAAACATTGGCCTTCAAAGTGAATTGCAAGCTATGATCAAGATCCGTAACTTCGTAAAACCTTCACATAGCCTCGTTAAATCCCAAAATACATCAAAAACAACGAATCTACCCATAAAAGCATCATATGATCACAACCACACAAAATCAAGCCAAAATAAGCTATGAATAACTAATCTAGACTCGAAAACTACCTATAAAGACCCTAAAAATATGCACAATGCACGACTTATCAAAATGTTTGCAACACCAACCCCAATAAGGGTTGTAACCTTAGAAGCAATTTTGCTTCAATTTTGAGAATTCACCAATTAAAACACAAGACGAACTATATATAGACTTTTCCAAGAACAATGCACAATTTGTTAGTAAAGTCGATGTACTGTCATTGGAATGTCTTTCCCAATAACAAATCTGTATAATTGTTGGTCAATATTGTCTAGACATATTTTAGGCCCTATGCGACATGTATACTCCCTCCAGGCCTTCACCCCTTATTTTTTGCTCCATATACCGATGCTATTTTATTAAGTTTTGGTTGGAAAAATACGATGAGAGAGAAAAGTGGTGGGATTAATGAGGTGGTTGTGAGAGTAAAGATGTGGTATTGTGGTCCTTATGTCAAACAATAGAATAGGGCAAAATTTAAGGGACGAACTAAAAAGAAAAGTGGGACGGGCAAAAAATAAGAGACGGAGGGAGTAATAGATTTCCCTGTAAGGGGAAAAAATGTACACTGTAAAATTTTCAATTTTTATTAATACTTGTCCTTTGTAATATAATAAACTCCGTTGATAAATAATCATGAGCATGTGTGCTTGAGAAAATTTTAAACTAGTACTCCCTCTGTTTCATAATGTTAGACTGTTAGTCCCATATGCAATCAATCACATAAAATAAGTGCTCGTTTGGTTCACATGGGAATTAACTTCCCACGGGAATTTATATTTCATGGGAAATTTTTTCCCTTATGATTTTTCTAGGAATTAAGATAAATTGTTTGGTTAACACTATACGAAATTACATTTCCTAGGAAATTCAACTCACCAAGGGGGGAGTTGGTGAGTAATTTCCCATGAGTTGTGAGAATTTATATTTCTCTTGGAATTGCTATTTCTTATGTTTACCCTATTTCCCTCCAACTAAACACACTTTCATTTTAATACTTTTTAGAAAATTCCATTTCCAAGGAAATTATCTTCCAACCAAACAACACCTAAGAAAAGAAGAATATTTGGAATCTAATATTCAAGTACAAACTAATTCATGATTAGTTTACCTTAGGGTTCGGTTGGCATCACTGTGGTTTTCTGGTTTTTGGTTTTTTGTTTTTTAAAATCATATGATATATGTCATATAATGAATAAAAAATTAGTCAAACTTATTAAAATCATGATAATTTTGGAAACTGACAACAGAAAAGTGGAAACAAAAACAAAAAACAATGCCAAACAAGCCCTTATTTAAGTGTTTTTTTTTTGGAAGCATATATCATAATGCATAATTCAAGGTAGAGATTTCCTTACTTAGAGTCATGTCATCAATCCACAACCAATTAATTCCAAAAAAATTAAGTTAAAAATGAAACATATTCAATATGGGTAGATTTTTTTGAAACGCCCAAAATAGTATATGAGACTAACATTATGAAACCGAGGGAGTATAACCATCGAGAATGTAATTATGAATGTAGTTCAATAAATTTTGTTAGCATGATCTTATCTGATTTCGGAAGGAGTTTGAAAAAATACAGATTGAAAAAGATTAAATCATGGCATTTGGCTACATATATGAAATTACAAAATTAGGCTTTGTTTCCTTCACCTTATTTTTTTTGACCTGAAATTATTTTTTTTCTTGATTAGGGATGTCAGTGGGGCGGGTCAAATAGGAGACCCGTGTTGGGGCGGGGATGGGTCTTGGTTTGGCGGGTGATGGGGCGGGGATGGGGATAAAAACCATACCTGCCATGGGTTGTGGGGTAGGGGTGGATTTTAGGTTGTACCCGCCCCATCCTCGCCCCGCTCTACCCGCCCCATCCCCACCTACCCCACTTCGTACCCGCCCCATCCCCACATCCAAATATTTTTAAAAACAAAATTATATACTTTTATACTACTTCCTCCGTTTTTTATTATTTGCAACAAGTGTACCTTTCGCGGAGGCCGAGGCAAAACTTTTAAAGCATGATTATAGATAATTAAGGGTATATGGTTAAGTATTAATCCTACATATAAAAAAAAACAAACAAATAAACAAAACCAGCACCGCCACCAAAACCCAAAACCAGAACCACCACCAAAACCACCGACAACCACCAGAACCACCAAACCCATCGACACTCAGAACCCAAAACACCAGCAAAACCACCGAAACCCAACCACCAACCAAGCCTTCACCACCGAAACCACCTAACCCACCACCCACAAACCCAGATCCGAAACCCACGAAACCCAAAACCACCTTTCGAACCCAAAACCACCACCGACGTGTTGGAAGATTTAGAGTGTTGATGGTTGCGCGCTCGTGAACCATGAGTAGCGCCCGCGCTGGGCAAGTGCGGCCGCGCTGAGGTCGCGCCTAAACCGCGGACCTCACTTGAATTTGAAGGTTTGGAAGGAGAAAGTTGGCGCGCCCGCGCGTCCAAGAGGCGCGCCCGCGCTTGGGTCGCGCCTAAACCGCGACCCTCTCTGACTTTCTGTATGAATATTCG